AAGTACCTATGCCAAGGTATGTATACTATAATAATAATTGCATAAAAATTTGTAAAAATTATTGTAAGTAAAAAGCAAGTACATTTACTGAAATAGGTAGGTACTATGTTAGATTTGTAGGATCTAAAAAGTATTATATATAAGTATATGTTAAGGTATAATAATATAATTTATCGTTTTCATATTATCATAATATATTATCTTAATTTATTGTGGCGCGCAATTCAAATAGACCAATGAGAAGCGCGGATTGAATACCGCGGCCGAACTCGGATACGGTACGTAAATACGCGTCCCGATAATCACTAGATGGAACTCTATGTTTGACGCTATCGGGACTGGAAATTTAACATTACAATAATCATAAACCTTGTCCAATGCCACGGTACTTCTACCAAGAAGATTCCAAAATGAATTTAATTTATTAAAAGTAATTTTAGATATTTTTAAATAATTTTTATCGTCAATTTTACCAATATCTGTTGTAGCTATCAGATTTAGTGTATGAGCGCAACAAGTTAGATGATTGGGCAAACAAATATTGTCATAATCAGAGTCAGGATTACATATATTATTTGATTCCGAAAGCAAATCACCTACATTAGTGTACTCAACGTTAGTATTATTTTCACAATCACTATTTGAAACATCACTATCAATTTCTAATTCAGAATTAAAGTCACCTACATTATAAGAATCAGATCCACTAGTAGAAACATTAGAAAAAGTGCGAAAAGCTTTACCAAAATTACTAGCATTATCTGTAATAATGTGAGTAATTTTGGAATTGTTTATTCGGTAAGTGTCAGAGATTTCATTTATGACTTCAGCAATGTTTAAAAAGTTATGACTACCTTTTCTTCTTCTGCAACCTAATACATATGAATACCGTTTATAGGTTTTACTATCAATAAAGTGGCTAGTCATCCCCATAAAACTCTTATTATTTGCGCTCCATATATCAGCAGTGTTACATATATAATCTTGTTTATCAATTAAACTAGTTAATGTAGATACATAATTATTATACTTCAGTTTTAACTCTTTAGATATAGTTTTACGGTTTGGAAGTAAAGCTGTGTCAGTAATTCCTGTTAGTCCTTTAATGAGCCGATGAAAGGCTGGTTTTTCACAGGTGATTAAAGGTCGCATTTCTTCAACAATATAGTTGAACACTAACTGACAAATCTGAAAGAAAACATTAATTATTTGCTTAATTTATTTATTCGATAATATAGGTAGGCAAGTTAAAATAATATCATACTATAAAATACAAAATAATAATTAAAATAGAATACAGTAGGTAATTTACAGGGCTAGGATAAAATATGCAACAGCATGTTTAAAAAAATATGAAGTAACATGCAACTTATGAACTTAATAATATACAATAATTAATAAATAATAAATATCTATGCATGCGAATTATTAATAAATCATTTTTAATCTAAATTATATTATATTATATGAAAATTAACCAATAACTGATTTATTGCAAAAAATAAATATTTTTTTTGTAACAATTGTTTTGTGTGTAGGAACCTCTCAATAAAAATATAAAATGCATATTTTTGTATATTTGAAGAAAAAAACGTATATTTCCTTGTTTTTATTCGCATATAAATCCTAGCTCTGGTAATATGTAAAATTGTAAAGACATTTTTATTCAATATGTAAGAATTTTTCAAGTATAACAATTAATTAATAACAGTTTTTGAATTTTATTTTCTCATAGTAAATTAATAATAAAGCTTATTACTTGTCGAAATTGTCATGAATGTAGCCAATAGTTATTAAATATTATCTATTAAATAGGTTGTAAAATATGCTTAAAAATTACAACAAAAATAAAAATGATAATTTTTACTGCCAACTGCCAATTATTAAGAAAATCAATCTTATGGAACAGTAGTAGATTTAACTTTTATGCCAGACAGAATAATTAGGTTTATTGTTTTTACTATTCTAATGCTCACAGATGATATAATATAAATATATTATAATATACATATTAGTATATTACATATTATTAATTATTATACATGCATATTATTATATTAAACAGTAAACACTAAATGACTTCGTATAATATACCCATACAATAAGTAAATTTAACTTACATTATTTTTTATCGTACTGCTTTCAAATGAAGGCAATGTCATTTGTTTAGGACAGTGGCGGTTCTGGTAGTATTTTTTCGGTGAGGCAACCTATGTATCACCCCCCCCCCCCCCTACAAAATTAGAATTCACAATAAATGTAATTTAAAAACATAAAAATAATTATAATTGTATGAATGCTAATAATATACTTGTTTCGTAAATAATATAGTAAGTGATAGATAGGTAATAAACAGAGCATTTTAAAATTTGGTAGTTCTGAAAAGGACCTTTTGAGTAGGCCAACAAAACATTTTTTGTATATAATGACTCCCACATAACCAAGAGTGTTGTTGATATAAATTTGGATTAAATGACCTACAGAATACCTTACTTAGATTCTTGTCAGGAGCCAAAGCTTACAAAATCGGAATAGGCTTACCCACTTTTAGCAAATCATTTTTATTATCAGAATGCCATCGTCGAAACGGGGTCTCCAACAACATAACTACCACGTCTGTCACTGGAAACGTCATAACTCCAACAGTAATTAATTTAATATTGTTTATTACAAAAAACTGCAGCGTTATTTTAACGTAGACGTTAAGACGAACCAGAACCACCGAAAAAGTGTAAGACACAACTACAAAAGCGACTATTCGTACAAGACGTCAAGACAGAAATGACTAATGACAAATATAAAATTATTATCAATAGATATTACAACGGACAACGGTTAATTAGGAGTATTGGACTGTCCCGAGTCTCGATTGTAACAATAACATCTTTACTGATAAGTGATAATGTGTTTTTACGTTGAAATGCCGGCTGATATTCCTGTATACCGAGTCTATTTTTAGTACATAAGGTGATGTTAGTCGAGCCTCACAATGATCATTGCGCATGCGCAACTCTAGTTATTTTATAGTCGCGAGCATTCGCGTACATACGCTTGTGTGTGTAATTCATGTACACAATAGTAGATACTCTGAGGCGGAGTTGAACGGTGCCTACTGACGTCATCGGAACATTGCCGCCGGTTGAAACACCAGCGTTTGTTTACGTAATAATTATTTCATACATTTCTTATCGGTTTATCACTATTTTTGGTAATAAATACTTAATGATAATATGATTTACCATTTACTATATAATAAATGATAATTCATTTTGTTAAACTTGGCAAAGAAGATTTTTTTCTCAAATAAAATCATAAAAACGTTAAAAATTATAATCGAAATATGTACCTATATGCTATCGGTGGGCCAAAAATTATACCTACTTTAATAGTATTTTTTACTTAAAATTGTAGGTTAGGCGGCGCCTCACTTGCCTCACCCCCAAAACCGCCACTGGTTTAGGAGTATATACAGACACAATATTTTGTTTAGTTTTTTTATAAGTACAATTTTTTACTCTCTTCAACTTTTGAAAGTATTGATGGATGTTTGAACTATAAAAATAAATAATTATTAATATAAGATTAAGATAGATGTTGGGTAATTTATTATAAAAAAAATAAAAATAATTAGGTACCTAGGTAAAAATAATGAAAATGTTAAAATTCAAAATATTTTCCTTTGAAAATCTTCTACACGACTGTATATTTTCTATGGTTTTGACTTAAGTCTATTAGTCTTTACATTTAAGTAAATCAAAATAATTATTATTTTACACTAGTCACTAGAGGTCTAGAGTAAAAACATTTATGCTTTCAATTTAAATTTTAAAATTAACTGATTAACCCACTAATTACATACAATAACTGTCTGATATTTGACATTCAAAGGTTAAAAAAAATTTAAAAACATACCTTAAGATGACTCAGGAAATTTCCAGTAGAATTAATCTGGCCTCGAATGACTTTTGTGCACAGGACACATTTCGCAACCAACTTTTTTCCGTCATTCTTATTTGATACTATGTTATAGTATTGACCATCGAATAAATAACTTTGTGATACATTTATTTGTTCTATGCTATCACAGCAATCAAGTTCTGTTGCTTCTTCAGATGTGTGTGGAGAGTCAGCAGAATCCGAGGCAGAATCATTTTTAGTTTTTTTTTGAAACATCATTGTTTTTAGAAGATGTTGCCACCAAAAACAGTTTCATATTTTATTAATATCGTTCAAAATAAATAAAGAATTTAGTACTAGATATCCTTCAATAAGAAAAAAGTAACGATAGTTGTAAATTCAGGAGATGATTGTGTCAAGAACGACGAACGCGAAATGATAATTATTTAATGGGTGATCACTGATTATTGGTCTGGTACCAGAAAAGTGTGTGTTTATTAAAAACGCGAAAACAAATAAATAAAATAAATATGCATGTTATACTGACGTATAATTCGTTGCACCCATAGGCTGCACATAATCAAGGGATTTATTTTCATTGTAATAATAATTATTTATAGTTATTAATTTCTACGGAGTTCAAGTCGGAGTTTGGGCCTTTCCAAGTATCGACCTGACATGCTTGTTGTCGGACGTCTGCGTTTATAAAAATAATATTTTATTTTATTTATATTATGTGATTAGACTAATAGACTATATTATTATGAACATATTTTATATTGGATAATATATTAATATAATATACTCTAATATTATGTCCATCGTTAGTAATAGAAATATTATTGTTATTTGTTTCCGTATTTGTTGTTCTTGTAATCTTAGTGGCTCAGACACAGTGTCCGGCAACTAGAGGGGGAAAATTATATCGTCTGCAAAAAAGTACAAGGAAAAAGAGTCCGATTTAATTTTTTTCGGAAAAAAAGTCCGACAAGAAAATTATTATACGGAAAAAAAGTCCGGTTTGATTTATTGTTTCATAAAAAATATTGTTTCATAATTAATAAAAATAATAAATATATATATTAAAAAAAAAGTTACTAAATGTATAATATATAATATAAATTTAATTTAAAACTATAAATAATTAAAATTTAAAACTAATATTTATTTCGTTTTCGAATGCAATGGCCAATATTAATTAAAAATTCTTCCACCGATATTTCGTCAATGGCCACTCTAGAACATAAGTTTTTTAAACGTTCACCGGTACGTTTTTTTGGTGTTGGAATCCCTTCACCTAATTCTTGTAACGCTATTTTAGCTCTATCTACTCCTAACTCTTCACGCATTTTAGAAATTAACTTCCAGACGGTTGGGTGCGCGTGTCCGACAAGATGCGTAAAATGGTTGTTCCAACTCTCGCAAATATTGTTTGTACGATGTTGACCGTTTATCGTAGCCTCGTGAACGTTCCATATTTCTGGAGGAAATAACGGTTTATTTTTTTTTAATTTTATAGCCATACCTTTTCCTGACTTTCTATATGTACCATTGACATATGTGGAATCGAAATAATCAAGAACCTCTGTAGCTTCTTCTGTACAAACCGTCTTTAAATATTGCATTCCGTCGTAAACTTTATTCATTGGCAAAAATGCTAACCCGTCTAACATAGCAAAAAAATGACTTAATGTATCTTCCGTTTTATATTTGGCTTGTAATCCTACTTCCTGTATCTTGCGATACGTATTTTGAGACAAGTGATAAAAACAACCTTGTATACGGACGTGCTCGCCGAGAACACACTGGGCGGCATTTATAGTAGCTTGTTCAAAATCTAAATTTATAATTAGTGGATCCAGGTAAAATTGCCGACTGTCACATTCTTTTAGAATGCTAAAAACTTCTTTGTAAGTACTATAATTTTTTTTTTGAAGAAAACAGTAAACTACAGTTACAAAAACATCATATTTTTTCACTCGAAAAACATATAACTGCAGGAAGTTTTCTGGACTTAACGAAAAATTACCATCACAATACCAAGTATGTGATTCAGTTAAATATTTTAATCCCAAGTGCAAAAATAATTATCCTGTCATCGGAATTTAATTTGTTATCATATAGCAAAAACCGTTCGTTTTTGTAAAGTGCCCATTCATCTTTAATTGTCAGTTCAGCCAAAGAATTGGGTTTAGGTGGAATACCTCGGTTTCTATAGTTTCTAAGTGTACGTTTAATACTTTCTTCAGAACTAAATGATTTTAAACAATTTTGAGGAAGTTCACTTACTACAGCTGAAAATACTTGGCATGGTTTATTTGTTGTTATTTTCATTCGATTATTCATGTCTTCTTTAGCTTTCTCAACTGTCGCTAAATTATGATCACCAGCATGTGAATGATCCTTGATTAACTGAGGGTTAGTGATACCTACAGTAATTTTTTTTTTATAATTATTTTTAATTTATTATTATTTATTTATTGTAATTTACCTTTTGAAGTGATTAAAATACCCGGACACTTTTTAGATAATCTTTGAGAGCATTTCCAGCGGATGCTTGTTGACAGATTATAATTAACTGTGTAAGCAAAACCATTACAAATAATTTTTTTACCCGATTTCAAAATTACTACTTCTTCCATTTCGATGTGAATAGCTACGAGAGTGGACAACGACTGGATTTCTTATGCGTTATCGTAACATCAATATTGTATACGTTGGGTATTTCATATTTTATCTTATAATACAGATTAATTGTGCTATCTTTATTGCCTTTTAATGTACACGAATCATATATATTATTAATTTTGAAAACCGGCCTTTTTTTTCCGTATAATAATTTTCTTGTCGGACTTTTTTTCCGAAAAAAATTAAATCGGACTTTTTTTCCGTGTACTTTTTTTCCCCGGACTTTTTTTCCGGGATTC